TCCAAATCATTTTAGGGGTGAACCTATTTCTATAGCATGCCACAACGGTGGAGCAGTATGAGCGAAGCCTAAGTACCTTGTTCAAGGGTACAGTGAGCTGTCTAGAATTTGAACCCACAGCTTTTCCGTTAATACATTCTGAGCCCCCAACTTAAACCTGCTACCTCACATTGCTAATCTAAGTCCGAGGAACACTCAGTTTGAAAAAAGAAAATATAACATTGTTTGTCTGGTTTCATATTATTCGAAATTTGACGGACAGAAATGTAAACGTAGGTGCCGGGTTCAGGAGTACAGTCCTGCGAGAGAATGCCCACAGTACCCTACAGTAGCTTTCTGCGTGTAGTTCCTACTCTCGCCCCTAGAGGGCCTCAGATCAGCTGGGTTCAGTGAGGTCAAAACTATTCGTCGATTCCCAGTTGGGATTACAAATAAGGATTATTTCCATACTTCCTTCGGTCGTTCGCTGTCCCCTCTGTATTGTGCGCACACACACACACCCAAGTCAGTAACAGATGAGCGCTGTAAAATGCTCCATCTATTCGGTCCGTATAAAACAATTGCGCTCAATGTCCCTGCTCATGTAAGAGCAGGGAATGATCTTTTGATTCCTGTTAAAATTAATTGCAAACATCTACTACTCAGAAAATGAAAAGGATATACAGTGATCTTTTAAAAAAAAAATTAGGCCATCTGTCGGCTGGATTTTGTTTTTTGGAATCATTACCTGAAAACAATTTTCATCTCGAAGGGGGATAGACAATTGTTACCAGAACGAACCCCACTTTTACAATTAGAGTGTGCATTTTCAGTAATATTTGTTTTCCATTTTATCCCAAAATGTTCTTTAAATTAGTCGTTATAATTTCCCCCGGAATATTTCTTAAAGGCACGTTTTAATAACGGACGAATTGCACACTTCAGCCTGATAGACTAAGCTTTAGTCAGTATGATGTATTTAGTAATAATAACATAGGTTCGCTTTCTAGGTATGCAAACGGAGACAAATTTACCTTTGAATCGAAGGAAATACTTTCGAGACCATACATTTACCCGACACAAATCTTTGATTTGTAGAATTTGAACTGATGTTGTATTACAATTTAAATACAGTGTATAACGCCACCTATTATTACTGACGCTTTTGTGAAAGAAAACGTGTAATTGAAATACGGTGCTCTAATTAAAACATTCCATATTGAGGTTAATTCTGCGCTTCTAGTTGAACGCAAGGTGTCCAGGAAATGGGTAGGAACGGAACAGCATCAGCCGGTAAACAGGACAAGCGCACGGCACAAACACTCGCACTGAATTAAACAACCTGTTCGCAAGTGGATAATGTTACTTACAGAAACATTAAGAAAATAACAGGCTCTTACGATCGTGTTTATGGACCTGCTGCTTGTTAAAGGACTTAATTGGCCGGGGTTTTGTTTTGTTGTTGTTGTTGTCGTGGTGGTGGCGGCGGTAAAGAGGACGTGGTGACCAAATTATACCTTTCATTGCCGTTAAGTGGTATTGCCTGTCTCGTGCGGCGCACCCTCCATCAGAGCCTGGATGAGCTACACAAATACGGGTCATTATGACAGGGGAGTCATTCAGCGCGCCGGGCCGGGGAGGTGCTGATTGGAAAAGCGCGTCGGCAGTGAGTACGCGTGCGGAGGTAATTATCTGATACTGCTTAAGGATGGTGCCAAGCCGCCGGTGGCCCTTGTCTCTGATAGTATGTTGGGGGGGGGGCTGAGAGACTCATCAGCCGGGAGAGATGATTTGAACTGTCACAACCAACCCAACAAAATATCGGAAGTTATTTTTGTAGGGGGTCTGCGGTCTGGTGTCTATTTCAGGTTTGATCCAAGAACAAATGATAAAGAAACTCTTTGAATTAGTATAAAGGTAATCCAGCTATCAAATTATAATCATCATCATCATCATCATAATAATAATAATAATCGATTCGATTCGATTTTTTAAATGTTTGGTTGATTTTTTTTTTGTCTAAAACCAAAGAAACGAATTACTGGCGGCAGTCTCCTTACTAGCTCAGTGATACATGTGAGCGATAAACTGTATTTACTGTACCTAGAAAGTGTAAGAAAAACGCACCGCTTTTGAACTAATGGGTTTTTACATTTACGACTGAAACAATTTCACCTCATCGTATATACTATTATTGCAAACGTTATTTAAAATATTTTGTATATTCTCAATCAAAAATCATTCTGTGTTAAAGCAGACCTATAATATAGATTATGTTACAGAGTATGCAATTCGTGCTATCTATGCAGTCACGAACAAAATATGTTTTCTGCTCCAACCATTCTTAATATGTCCACAGCTTAAAACATTGCATCAGGTTGTCTTCTGTCTCGTACAGTCATGAGCACCAAAGAATTGTTTCTTCTCGTGGGTGAACAATTGACAGAATACTCCCATACCTCTGCATGCAATCGCCAATAGAAAGCGTTCTGAGTTTCTAGCCTCGTTGATGCGTCAAAACCACAGCAATACAACCGCTACCGGAATATTAATATCATAGTAGAACTGTTACACCGAGCAGCACAGGGCTCTGTCCCGACCACCTGAAATGTTTGTGTCTGACACCAACAGGCATTGGAGGGAGTCCAAGACAATTTCTTCCCATGGCTGGTGGTGAGTTTAAGTGAGTAGTAAAAGTGCTGCGACAAAGGGTTTTCCACTTTGTGAAAGCTGTGCTCACCTGAAAGGCAGCACAAGGTCCTTCTACGCAGAGCTGACTAGTTTGACGTATCGATCTCTTTTTAACTGCTTTGGTTCGACAAAATAATCGGCTTTGGGGGATATTTTTTTTAAGAAGAAAGAAACCCCATGAATACCGAGCTGACGGAAACTGTATATAAGCTTATTTCCACTGCCACTGCGATGTACGCGTGTAAACGTGTGAGGAAAGTAACGTTTTAAAAATGCAAAGATATAGATCATATAGAAGGAAAAAATTGGTCAACTTGGTGTAGGCGGTGGTAGATATATCAGTCGATTTCATGTGGATGTTCATTTTCTCATTCGAGCGTTTGATGTCTCGCATAGACTGGCTACGACACAAAACGATTTTCAAATAACACGCAACGCAACACAGCATAACACCAGAGCAACGAAATTTAAATCTTCTGTATTCCCCAGGAACACGGTTCTTATTTAAAAAAAAAACCCCGAAAATATGTTTCTGTCACTCCAGCACCGGGTGTGTTTGGTAACCAAGACTAAAACAGCGAATTGTATTACTATTTCTTTTTCTTTTTCGTATGTATTTCAAATGTATCCCTTTGACGCGGTGAAGTATATAAAACGCCTTACGGCTGAAAGCAGGAGAGTGGTCTGAACTATTTGGGCGGAGGAGCAAAAACTCTCAGTACAAAAACACATTCTATTGTTTACTCGCACATTAAAAAGTGCCATTCCTTTGAAGTCCCTGTTTAGTGGCTCTAAAGTGAAAGAAAATGTTTTCCTATTACTTAATTCAATCATAGCGAGGAGGCTTGCTAAAAAGCCCACGGATTTGGCCTGAGTGTGACAGAGTTCTCTTTGTGTGTCCTGAGCCTTCCCTGTCGCACACTTTAATTCGACTCCCTTTATCCGCCATTCAGAACGTTCTACAATGACATTCAATAAGGTCCAGGCACTGAAAACCTGGTTATTTTTATATATTCTTCCACGTACCCCGGGGGTCTGCGCTAGGGAATTATTCCGTTTTTTAACCACACTGCCTGGTGCTCGGTGATTGCTGTTCTTTTCGACAATCACAGTAAAAAGTGTAAAGGCTACAGGTCCCTCAAAATAACCATTAAATAACCCATAGAATAGTACAAAGGTTTATTTTGTTATTACACTGAACAGTACTTCGAACACATATGGGCGTTTAAAAATACAGTCGAGAAATATAAATTGTATTTAGTACACACACAATTTCTTTCTTATAATATCTGATCTATATTTGAGACAGCGAAAAATTTTAGCAGCACACATTTTACATATCAGACAGACCTTACGACAGCTAAAGCAATCTATATTCCTGCAATCGCTATAATGCAATGATAATAACTTAATAAATGAAAATGATCGTTATAAGGAAGTAGCTGAACCTCGCTCTTACTGGAGTTTTAATCCAAAAATAATTATCCTTATTTCGGCTGTGCATAAAACATATTTTTAATCTGTATAATATTGAAAAACATTTTGCTCTGTTACTAAGGTGAAGTTCACTGATGAAAATAAGACAGCGTATGATAATCCATTTTATTAGCCGCATTAAAAAATTAAGACTAGCCTGAATCATTCTAACAACGGGATATCCCTGAATCTTTGAAATAATCATAAAAATCAGTGGAATGCACAACGGGCGAATTTTTCTTCGTGGTAGCCAGAGAAACGTCCATCGGACGCAGTTGCTAAAATAAGACGATGAAAACAAACACGTCGTTTTTCAATTCTTTTCGTCTCAGAACACGCGCAAGCTGCCGTCAGATGAGTACAGAGCATTTCAAATCATGTGTTAACGGAGTTTCAAGACAGAACACCTCTCCATCCCCATTGCCTTCCGGTGACAAAACAGGGGAAATATTTCAATCGATGCAAAGCTTCTGCCACATAAGGAATCGCAGTGTTCCGGACTTGCACCCACCCCTGTTGTGCTCAGAAGAACGCAAGCCATCAGGTACTGTAGGTGCGCAGGAAGAATACTTTCTGGGACACTGAGTGGGGAGACAGCGCTGAGAAAGGTGGGGTCCTAACGAGCCCCAGATGGAGACAGGATAACACCTAAATGGGAGCTCTACCAATTAAGAACCCAGAGGCGTAAAGCCTAGGAAAACAAGCCCTGGATGGGAAAGAAAGGGGAGAAAAAATATTTAATCGTTTTGAAATACGAAAATAAAAAAGGGAGGAAAGACTGCCGGGGAGGGGGGTGGGGCGCCTCTTACGGCGTGGGTGGGGCTGACAAGAATAGAGTACATTATGCAGTTCATTTAGTTAACAAGTGAAATAATAGGGAAGCGTGCAGTGTGAATGCCAAGAGAAAAGCCACAAAAAGCCTATTGAGGGCTCTCAGCCGCTCATGGCGTAACCATCACATGGGTAAACTATGCTCTGACTATTTAAACAAGACCACTTTTCGCTTTCAGCACCATTCTGCTGTCCAGCCACGTTGACAACAACGCGGAGAGGGAAAGAGAGAGAGAAAAAGTGAGAGAGAGAAGACGAAGTTTGCAAAGATGCCCAGATCGTTCCTTGTGGATTCCTTGATTCTGAGGGAGGCTAACGAAAAGGGGACTGAGAACAGCCCGCCGCTGTTTCCCTACGCCGTGCATCCTCCGCACCCTCTTCACGGGCTGTCCGCCGGCTCCTGCCACTCGCGCAAACCTGGACTGCTGTGCGTCTGTCCCTTGTGCGTCACGGCCTCCCAGCTTCACCCGTCTCCCCCGGCCATACCGCTGCTCAAGGCCTCTTTCCCGGCCTTCAGCTCCCAGTACTGTCACTCGGCGCTCGGGAGGCAGCACACGGCGTCCGCGGGGGTCAGCATCAACCACGGCGCGGGCATCTACCAGGCGGCGTACCCTGTGCCAGATCCCCGGCAGTTTCATTGCATCTCCATCGGTATGTACCTAGACCTTTACTGGCGAGTCATTCGTTTGCGTGATCTGCTGTTCTGTTTGCGTGCACGGAAGGCGAAGGTGTTTGAAACAGGTCATTTGGTGTGTGCAGTGGACGCATGCATGTCAGGGCTAAGGGTGGGAGTAATTGTATTCTTGGACCGGGTAGTTAAAGTTTTACCGTGGTGCGACAACAGGTGTTCTGTTTGCTGCATTGCCAAGCGCAGGCTAACATTTCCCCCCTTGGTGTTTTGTGCAGAGAGCAACAGCAGCCAGCTCCAGAGCAGCAAGAGGATGCGCACGGCGTTCACCAGCACGCAGCTCCTGGAGCTGGAGAGGGAGTTCTCCTCCAACATGTACCTGTCCAGACTGCGGCGCATCGAAATCGCCACCTACCTGAACCTGTCCGAGAAGCAGGTCAAGATCTGGTTCCAGAACCGCAGGGTCAAGCACAAGAAGGAGGGCAAGAGCAGCTCGCACCGGGTGGGCGTCAACGCCTGCAAGTGCGCCTCGCTGCCCTCGGCGCGGTGCTCGGAGGAAGAGGAAGACCTCCCCATGTCCCCTTCATCTTCGGGGAAGGACGACAGAGACCTTTCCGTGACCCCTTGAGCACACGCCTGTCCCAGGAAAGCTGGCCGGCGACCCTACCTGTGGAATTTTAAATTCCGAACTCTTTCACTACGCAGCCAAAACTCACCTGTACAGACTTTCTAAACCGTAACTTGTATATGTAAAAAAAAAAAACAACAACAACTGGTTTATACCTGCTATACGAAGGATTCCTCTTTCGTAAGACCAGACTGTAGCTTGTTAAATGTGTGATATTCTTATATTGCTTTATATCTGTGTACCTATCGTAAGTTGGTAGTCTTTTGAAACGCGATTCATCTTTACCGAGAGTTGCCTATCCAAATGATTTCAAGAAGATCGCCTAATAACGGTCTGTAATTCCAGATATGATATCCTGTACATAAAAAAAACAGACACATTTGTTAGCGTTCTATATTTTTGGAAACGAATAGTCGAGTATTTTGTATCAATGGTGAAAACTGTTTAGCTTTACTGAAATGTTTTCGAGCGTCTCCTTTGACGGAGATGGGAGATGACGGTATTTTTACTGAACTGTGAAATGCGTTCAGAACGATGTACACTGTTGCCTTGCTTTTTCTCCTGATGTTTCTTTTTCGAAATAGTTGTGTAATTGTATCGTCAATGTAATGGAAAATATTTATTTATTTATTGAAAGAAATAATGCTGATGTTAATAATAAAATAAAATATTTCTTAGAAACCCCGCGACTCGTTCGTCTTTAGCAAGTGCTAGCCACGACCGATGAGCAAAGGGTTAAAGAATTTAAGACATTTCCACTCGTTCTTAAGGTAGGAGATGTTTTCTGGAAGTAAATATTTGGATTGCAAACAAATAAGGTAAATAATTATCAGGCAATCTGCCTTTAAAAAAATGGTGCATTATGAATTTTAAAATCAATAAATAACTAAATCTTAAAACATACACTTTCCTAATATTTTACAATAAGACCATATTAAGAATGCACTGGATAATAGTAATTTATTAATGCTTTAATACATTTAATAATAGATGTCAACATAAATTGTTTACTACGTGTACAGACATGTATGTGAACGTTTTTAATTAGTAATTTCGAGAAAGTTTCAGAACTGTGCATAGGAAAGCAACACAATGGAATCCACATTTCCGATGCACTAAAACAGTGGCATTCCTTTTTAAACATACACAGCTAAACATACACAATCCATCAGGTAAGAGAGGACAGTGGGAGAGATGAACATGGAACAGAGACAGTGAATGAGCACCGTCACTCAGGGAGAAATACAGTACAAAGCTCAAAGTCAAA